AGACGTATTTACCATTATTCATCACCCATTGCCCATTGCAAACCATGGGTAGATACCACTAAATTATGCATATTCTAAAACCATTTTAACCATATTATTAGCCAATATCAACATGATATCAATCATTAATTAGTATCATTATATATATAAACCATTCTATTATATTATATTTATGGTTATGGTTACTAGTTAATTATTATATGAACCATGATGATTTACCATATTATATCAATTATATAAACCATCAGTTAACCATTATTTTAGCCATTAATCATTATATCAACCATTATAATGATATAAAATAATGATGAATGATTATTAACCATATAATTCATATAATGTTAATGATTGAATACTGATAATAATAATAAATCATTCTGGTTGGTGGTATACCTATCCCTCTGAAACATATGAGTTCGTCAGTTGGGATGATGAAATCTAATATATGGAAAGTCATCAAATTCCATGGTTTCAAACCAGCAACCAGATACTAAAAACGATAGTTTTAATGGGAACATCATCTGTTTGAATGATTGAATAATGATTACAATTCTTATTCATCAAAATGTTTTTCATCATTCAATCATAATGATTTATTCATAATCAAAGGAAGTTGGGAAGCAATACTTCCGAGTTACGAATGACTTTTACTTGATGCAATTGACTATGATGAAGGGTGGTAGATCACAGAACAATACATTATCTAACAATACACAACAAAAGAATAAGAAGCTATGACACAGGGTGGTGACGAAGGGATGTGGTTACGATGGGAAGTGGTGAGGAAGGGAAGTGGTGACGAAGGGAAGTGGTGATGAAGGGGAGTGGTGAGGAAGGGAGGTGGTGACGATGGGAAGTGATGAGGAAGGGAAGTGGTTACGATGGGAAGTGGTGAGGAAGGGAGGTGGTGACGATGGGAAGTGATGAGGAAGGGAAGTGGTGACGAAGGGAAGTGGTGATGAAGGGGAGTGGTGAGGAAGGGAGGTGGGGACGATGGGAAGTGGTGAGGAAGGGAAGTGGTGACGAAGGGAAGTAGTGATGAAGGGAAGTGGTGATGAAGGGAGTGTGGTGACTTTGGGAAGTGGTGAGGAAGGGAAGTGGTGAGGAAGGGAAGTGGTGATGGCGGGAAGTGGTGACGAAGGGAAGTGGTGAGGAAGGGAAGTGGTGACGATGGGAAGTGGTGACGAAGGGAAGTGGTGACGATGGGACGTGGTGAGGAAGGGGAGTGGTGAGGAAGGGAGGTGGTGAGGAAGGGAGGTGGGGACGATGGGAAGTGGTGAGGAAGGGAAGTGGTGATGGCGGGAAGTGGTGACGAAGGGAAGTGGTGAGGAAGGGAAGTGGTGACGATGCGAAGTGGTGACGAAGGGACGTGGTGAGGAAGGGAAGTGGTGACGAAGGGAAGTGGAGAGGAAGGGAAGTGGTGACGATGCGAAGTGGTGACGAAGGGACGTGGTGAGGAAGGGAAGTGGTGATGAAGGGAAGTGGTGATGAAGGGGAGTGGTGAGGAAGGGAGGTGGGGACGTGGGAGTTCTATGCGTTTCCTGAAGCTGTGGTTGCGGATCGCATTGGAATGGCTGCATGAATGTTGCGTGGGCTCTGTTTTGGGGAGGAAGCCGGAGCACGAAACCTTGTCTTTTTCCGTGTAAAGTGGCTGCAGCCGGCGATGAAAGGTACCTCGTCTGTGCGGCGGGTGCGTTTGGGGTCGTTTCATGCGCGAATTGTTCCTCCTATGTGTTTTGCAACGAGTGGTTGTTCCTGTGTGCGTAGTTCTATGCGGTTCTTGAATCTCTGGTTGCATGATCGCATTGGAATGGCTGCATGAATGTTGCATGGGTTATGTTTTGGGGAGGAAGCCGGACCACGAAACCTTGTGTTTTTCCGTGTAAAGTGGCTGCAGCCGGCGATGAAAGGTACCTCGTCTGTGCGGCGGGTGCGGCTGGGGTCGTTTCATGCGCGAATTGTTCCTCCTATGTGTTTTGCAACGAGTGGTTGTTCCTGTGTGCGTAGTTCTACGCGGTTCTTGAAGCTGTGGTTGCAGATCGCATTGGAATGGCTGCATGAATGTTGCATGGGCTATGTTTTGGGGAGGAAGCCGGAGCACGAAACCTTGTGTTTTTCCGTGTAAAGTGGCTGCAGCCGGCGATGAAAGGTACCTCGTCTGTGCGGCGGGTGCGGCTGGGGTCGTTTCATGCGCGAATTGTTCCTCCTATGTGTTTTGTAACGAGTGGTTGTTCCGGTGTGCGTAAATCTATGCGGTTCTTGAATCTCTGGTTACATGATCGCATTGGAATGGCTGCATGAATGTTGCATGGGCTATGTTTTGGGGAGGAAGCCGGAGCACGAAACCTTGTGTTTTCCGTGTAAAGTGGCTGCAGCCGGCGAAGAAAGGTACCTCGTCTGTGCGGCGGGTGCGGCTGGGGTCGTTTCATGCGCGAATTGTTCCTCCTATGTGTTTTGCAACGAGTGGTTGTTCCTGTGTGCGTAGTTCTATGCGGTTCTTGAATCTCTGGTTGCATGATCGCATTGGAATGGCTGCATGAATGTTGCATGGGTTATGTTTTGGGGAGGAGTGTTTTTCCGTGTAAAGTGGCTGCAGCCGGCGATGAAAGGTACCTCGTCTGTGCGGCGGGTGCGGCTGGGGTCGTTTCATGCGCGAATTGTTCCTCCTATGTGTTTTGTAACGAGTGGTTGTTCCGGTGTGGGTAAATCTATGCGGTTCTTGAATCTCTGGTTGCATGATCGCATTGGAATGGTTGCATGAATGTTGCATGGGCTATGTTTTGGGGAGGAAGCCGGAGCACGAAACCTTGTGTTTTTCCGTGTAAAGTGGCTGCAGCCGGCGATGAAAGGTGCCTCGTCTGTGCGGCGGGTGCGGCTGGGGTCGTTTCATGCGCGAATTGTTCCTCCTATGTGTTTTGCAACGAGTGGTTGTTCCTGTGTGCGTAGTTCTATGCGGTTCTTGAATCTCTGGTTGCATGATCGCATTGGAATGGCTGCATGAATGTTGCATGGGCTATCGAAAAGGGAGGAAGCCGGAGCACGAAACCTTGTGTTTTTCCGTCTAAAGTGGCTGCAGCCGGCGATGAAAGGTACCTCGTCTGTGCGGCGGTTGCGGCTGCGGTCGGTTTGCCTTTTTTTCCTTGCCGCAGTGTAATGTGCCTTCAAGCTGCTTTGGGTCTGCTTGTGTGTGCGTAGTTATAGGGTGTTTTGGAATCTCTGGTTGCATGATCGCATTGGAATGGCTGCATGAATGTTGCATGGGTTGTGTTTTGGGGAGGAAGCCGGAGCACGAAACCTTGTGTTTTTCCGTGTAAAGTGGCTGCAGCCGGCGAAGAAAG